CCATTGGAGGGATTCCACATTGTTGTGGAGCAGGCAATGGAGCAGGAGGATTTTTCACGGTAAATGGTCTTTATTATCTCCTTGGTTTTTGCCAAATTATATGTGAGTATTTAAGCATTTATGTTAGAAAGATCCATCAAAAGAATTCGCAAACCAAAGGAACAAATTATATACTCATTAAACCATTAAGAAACATATGGTTTTCAATGGGCAAATTGTTAGTGTTTAGACGTGCCTCTGACATGCACACGTGATTTTGTTGAAATCTGATGGTAAGAAGATGCAGGGTGGATGTTGGATTACAAAAATCATTGCTATAGCAAAGCACTGATTGCCTTACTCTTAAGCCTCATATTGGCTAAGTGACAACAGAAGAACAATAGGAGGTTTAAAAGCAACCACAACAGACCTAATTTTACTAAATGAAAGCGGTTATATGGATTACATGGTGTGATTGTGCTCTATCAACAACCATCTCTTCAGATATAGCATTCACTGAGAGATCTGGTTTTATGAATTATTTTAGTATTCTTTTTTAGCTGAATTTGGTTTCCCCCATAACATCATAAGACAGTTTCAGTTAATTATTCTACGTTTGATTTTAGCCTTCAACAGACTCATATGAATGCTATTAATTGAAATTGATTCTAACCAAGTAATCTCTAAGGCATCAATTAATGGGTCAGGATATTAATTATTTCTGAACCTGTGGTCAACTCAAATCCACTGTCCACACATAACATGTCCCGGTCAAATTACATACAGACAGACCCTTTACATAAGAATATCAACCTTCATTCCTCAGTCGTCAACAACAATTTGGCTATTTCTCATGCTGGATCGGGTCCTTCAGTGACAATATGTTAATTTACTTGACACTCGACATATGATTAGTTTGGTTTAGGAATTATATGTGTTTAATGTGACTAGGAAATTAATAATACCTCATTTTTAGGCATTTTTTTCTCTCCAAGTTTCTATAAATACCTATGTGTTTGGACTAATTTTTGGTCTGAATGGCTCTTGACTTTTCAATATAATAAGAAATTCAGACATTTCATCAATGATTAATCAGGCAAAAGTTCTGGAACCGCTGGGTGCAATTACTACACAGGAAGTCAATTTTTGGAGCCAGATGGTAATATCTATCTCCAGGGGATTGATTTGAGCTGGGTATTGTAATCAGAATTTAACTCAATGTTTTGTGTTCAGGCATGTTTCCAAATCATATCCCTAATCCAGAAGATAAGACAGCAATGAAAGCTATAACACAGGCAGTTCTAGATAACAAAGCTGATCTTGGAATTATCTTTGATACTGATGTTGACAGGTAAATAATTTTCTTGTTTATTTCATTAATGTGCTTATTATTTAAAAAAATAAAAATGATAATCTATCACTTTCATCTAGATCTGCTGCTGTGGACTCCTTTGGCCGGGAAATCAACCGGAATCGCTTGATTGCTTTAATGTCAGCTATTGTTCTGGAGGAAGTAAAACCTTTTTCCTTAGCTATCTCTGCCCCAATATTTGTAACCTAAGACTTGTGCAAATTTTTTGGCTGACTTAATTTTTTTTTCTTTTATCATTTTCCTTAGCATCCTGGAACAACAATTGTCACAGACAGTGTGACTTCTGATGGCCTCACCTCATTTATTGAGAAGAAACTTGGTATGAAGGAATTTAATTTGGGCATAATCTACAGGCATTGACATCCCTCCCCTGGGTGTTAGACTAATTTGGACCTTTTCTTCGTTAGTTTCATTTCAAAGTACTTTTAAACTTAGAGAATAAATAATCCAAACCTGTGTCTTGCTTCAATTTGAATTTCAAAGTACTTTTGCCCTGAACTGGTGTCAGTAACATGCTAGCTTCACTTTCTTTTAAGGTGGGAAACACCATCGGTTCAAGAGGGGCTACAAAAATGTGATTGATGAAGCTATTCGACTGGTGAGATGAGCAGTTCTCTATCATAGCTTTTCCATATGGATGACTTTTGACATCTGAGGATTGGAGTGGAATACTTCATTGTTTGACATTTGAACCTCATAAATTTTAATTGAATTTATTCAACAATGAATTCTAGTACGCATCCCATTCAGTTATTGCTGCTCATTGACAAGTAAATAAAATGGTAACTGAAATTATGCACAAGAAGAAACTTATATTCTTTGTATTCCACTTTTTAAAAAAAAAAAATTACCTACTTTGAACATGTAATTTCCATGTTAGAAGCTAGATACGTGGCTAATGAAGCAATATTGTGACAGAATTCGGTTGGTGAGGAGTCACATCTGGCAATTGAAACCAGTGGACATGGAGCTCTCAAGGAGAATCACTGGCTTGATGACGGTGCATACCTAATGGTAGGCTTTTATTAAAACTATGTCATCTAGTCAATCATTGACTAGTGTGTACGCTGTCATTTTGGTCCTCAAAAGTATATTAATTTACCTCCATTCTTATTCCATATATCTTTTGTACATTCAGCATGTAAGGTTCAAATTGAAGAGAATGAAAGTATCTGAACACTTGATCAATTACAATAGCAGATCACAGACTAAGTCAGGAAAATATGTCTTGTGTGAGAACAGAAATGACAGTGGGTTATGTAACCTATGCAGGTCAAGATCTTAAACAAACTTGCCTCAGCAAGAGCTTCAGGAAGGGGTGGAGGAAGCAAGGTTTTGACTGATTTAATAGAAGGACTCCAGGAACCAGCTTTCGCTGTGGAACTGAGACTAAAGATCAACCAAAATCATCCAGATCTGAAGGGAGGGTAAGCTGCCGTATATAGTCTCTGCTAGCATGCTCCTGTACTTTAATTTTGTGAACTCACTTACAATCTGAGAGCTTTCAGATCTTTTCGGGATTATGGAGAAGCTGTGCTGAAGCACTTGAAAACTCAATTCACGAACGCAGATCCAAAGCTACAAAAGGCACCCGTAAACTATGAAGGGGTATGCTAAACCTTATCCTTAGATAGATGTGAATCCGTTAGCATTAATTAAAATGATTTTTGCCGGGTTTATTAAAGCATTTATGAAGAAGACATCTCAACTTTGAAATGGAAAGCCATGAAATACAAATCTAGTGTGGGAAAAGCCTTCCTACTCTAGTTGGTTTATGTATTTCTGTCATGCTTCCAATATAATTTATTCTTTTTTCCCCTCATTCTGGTTATGAATTAGGTCCGAGTTTCCGGCTATGGTGGATGGTTCCTTCTCAGACTCTCCCTCCATGATCCTGTCCTTCCCCTTAATATTGAGGTAAAAGGCCATTTAGCCTTTGCATAAGCTGTCATGCACAATACTGAAACATTGCAGCTACTTTAGCATGATTATTATTCCTAATTTCTAGGCACCAAGCCATGATGATGCTGTAAAGCTTGGACTTGCTGTGGCTGCAGCTGTAAAGGAGTTTGCAGGCTTAGACACATCTGCTCTGGACAAATTTGCAGGAATATCATAGTTTTGGCGCTTCAATTCTTGCTAGACTTGTAAGTTTGGTGCTGGAAATGTTTTTGCTTCTTGTATACCTTCATCGGCTGCATTATATATACTCAACAGGGGATCTTTGGTCCTCATATCAGCTTGAACTGTGAGTGAATGAGAAGGTAGAGAGAGCATTTGGAGGAATCTCATCTTGACACTGATGCAATGTTTAGTTGGTGGAAAATTGTTTTCTAGGAAGAAAATGAGAAATTTATCTATCCCAGATATTTCTCTCATTTATTTTATAAAAAGCACTTTTCCAGTTACCAGACATGCTATTAGGGTTATCCAGCGTACGCACAGTGGTCCAAACCTAATAGTAATCTTAGAGGTGGATGATGGAATTTTACTGAATTCAGTTTTTATTTCATTTTGTATGGCCACCATGGTGCCCTCTTTTTTGCCCCTCCTTTGTTGTAGTTTGGAATGTTCTCGGATTTGTTTAACATGAATTTTAGAACATTTAAAAGTTAAGTTGTTCGGTGGGATATTATTTAATCTAATGAAATGAATTGTGCTCGTTTTGCTAAAAACTTGTCTGTACAGGCCCTCGTTTGTGTTTTGTTTTAATGCTCAACTATGGGTAATCCAAGCTATTTCAGTCTATTATTATTATGGCATTTGTGATATGACCTGATTTATTTGTTTTTTTCTTCGGTTTTTTGTGACTCAAGGAAAAGAAAGAGTCTTTGAGGGCAATTGTTATAGGGATTTGAAGTTTAGAATTGGGTTAAGATACAAAATTACTCTTGAAGTTTTCAGCCAGGTGCACCTCACGTCCTAAAATATTTTTTGGTACAATTTTGCCCCCACGTTTTTTTATTGAGGTACAATGTCGCTCAGCCATTACCCTTTGACTGGTTTGACCATTTTCTGCCATTGATTGCCACCTCATGTCTTTTTTTTCTTGGCCAAATCGTCCCCTTCTCCATCACTCTTTCCCTCTCTCTCTCTTCCCTCTCCGCTATTGTTGGCCATCAAATTTGATCAGATCCCACCCAAACATACTTTGAATTTCTCTTGCAAATATTTATATTTGGGACACTATATTGCTCTCCCATCAAACTTGAAAATCACAAAATAAGCATATTGTTGGAATCGATTCCATTCAGCCGTAAAGAAGCAGAAGACGCATTTGAAGCAGACTCTTCCTCTCTAACCTACTACTTTCCGGCTATTCAGCTCAATGGGATTGTTCATATTTTAAAGAAAACTAAATGCATGTTTCTTCTTCATCATCATTGATGAAGACCATTCTTCCTAGTTAATGATTACAAATCAGGAACAAGAGATCTAAAACTAAATCATCAGTATTGATTATCAAACTTGAACAAGAATCAAAGCGATGCTTACGGAATCAAATTAAAACAAACATAATCAGCCTAAGAACAATTACTCAATACAGAAATCCACACTCAAGAATTTCTTTTCCATTAAATGGAAAAATGTTTACTCTCTTGTTCGTAACTCATACGGCTCATTCATTCACTTCCCTACAATGACAAGCATAAAAAAATTGAAGCAAGTACGTGACCTCAAAAGCCACCTAACTAGGAAATAGATGGAGGTGAGAAGCTCAAGCTAATGGTGGCAATGGTACAAGCAAGCTGGATGCACGTTGACCCAGGAGATGCAATTGATGGAAGCTTCGAAGACCTAGAAGACCCAAACAAAATCCCTCTCTTTCCTCCCTCTTTGAAACCCATCGTCGTTAAAACCTCGGCTCGACCACCAGAGAGATGAAATCCCTCATGTTGATTCTCTTTCTCATATTCTCTTTTAGTCAAGCGTTCTTTCATATTGATCTCGACCTTGGCTCAATACATCATCTTTACTGTATTGACTGGTCATTGGTGAAGCTCACCTCGACCTCGGCTGCTATGGCTACAACAACCTCAATGCCACTACTGTTGCTGAAGATTGCAAGTGATGGAAGATTGAAGAGGAAGAAGATCATCCACCCAGGTATTAGTTTTTTTTTTTCTTTTTAATTTCTAAAACATATGCCACGTGGCTGTCAACACAATAGATCACGGTCAAAGTCTAGATATGTTATTCCAGAGCGTCATTGTGTCTAAATGAAAAACGACAGGGTGAAATTGCTCAATATAATATTTTAGAATATGAGATGCACCTAACTGAAAATTTTGAGTAGTTTTGTACCTTATCCCTTCAGAAGTCAAAAAAGCAACTACTTAATTTGGGTATATGTGATTTGGTTTCATGAATAGTTAAGGGCACATTTGTTTACACTTTTTTTTCATGAAAGATTTAGTTATTTGAAAAAAATCATTTTTAAAAAAAATTGCGAGAATTAATAAATATGGCAATTTTTTTAAAAAATGATTTTTTTCAAATAACTTTTCCTCAAAATTATCGATATACCAAAAAAAAAACATATTGAAGTAGCTTTTGAAAATAAATTGATACAATAGATGAGAGTGAGAATGTTAAAATAAATAAAAATACGCTGATATACAAAGATGGGAGACTAACCAAAAAATTCCCATGAAATATCGGAATTCCAGATTACGACCATGAAATGGCTTAATCCTTTTCAAGTCCGAAGTACTTCTATGAAATTAAACATTTTCATGAAATTACCTAATTAACTTTTTATATTAATTGAACAAACCAATCAAACCTAACCGAACTTGTTCGCTTGGGTTTTTTAAATTTATGCAAAAGGTTAGTTATGTAATTTCATTGTGAAAATGTTTAATTTTATAAAAGTCCCCTAGGACTCCAAAGGGATTAGGCTATTTCATGATCCTGATCATGGATTCCCATATTTCATGGGGACATTTTTTGTTATTCTCCCAACAAAGACGTTAATAAAATTTGAAAAAATTTATAACTTCTACAAGTGAAAAATAGCTTAATTAAATGCTGGTGCATATAATCATATTGTAAAAAGTTCTTCCAATTAAGTGCTTTTCTTTAGGCATTAATTAGTTGAAATAAATTGCCCCTTCTCAAACTCCTGCAACTGGAAAATATTTTTTTTTTCTTTTGCCAAAAAAAATACATACTCTATTACGTCATTTACTTGTAGCAATGGCAAAACCTTATCACTTATCAATATCATGATGGGTTAAATTTGAATTATTGGTGCGTTTTATCATTATTTTGAGGGAGTACTGATAGGGGTAGTTTTGGAAAAAATCGTAAACATGAGAGAGAAATTGAGTTGAGATCTTACATTTAGAATCAAAGTAAATCGTACCCTAAAGTAGCGATTACATTCAACGCGGAGTAACATAGCATTTGGTGCTAATTAAACTAAATAACTAAACTCAGAATTTTACACAACTATCTAATTAAACTAATCGCAGCAATAATCTTTGAGGACCAATCAAAGTCTTCCCAATTGAAGGTTTAAGAACAACGATATATGATAGTGAATATTGAATTTTATAAGAACAATTAAAAATAAAATTAAAGTAATAAAGATGAGTATGGTAACATGGATGAGTTCACATGCATGCTAGAAGAGATAAGATTCATAATAGGCATTAGGATGAACATGGGCCGGGTATCACCCAACTTGATATGTTTCGGGTTGCCCTAGTGCCTAATTATTCAGGCCGGGTTTTGCCCAACATGAAATTCTCCTAAAAATTATTTTAAAAAATAATAAAAGAAACTTTCCTTTATCAACAAAAATATAATTATTTTCATTAAGATACATTTTATACAAAACTAATTCGAGAACGAAAAGTAATGATTTTTAAAATTCTATATATTTAAAATTATTCATTATTTTATATATTCTAAGTTTAAATATTATTTTAAAATATTAAAAATGATTAAAAAATTAAAATCATAAAAAAAATATCAATGATAGTCATAAAAACAAGAGATGTAAACTGAAACATGTTTAAAAAATGACATTATAAATTAATTTTTTAACAATTTAAAAAAAATAGATATGCTCAATCAGGGGACAATGCCCAATTCAATGAGCCTTAATATCTAGGTTGGGCTGAGCATATTGGGCTATTGAAGCTCTTACATGGCCAAAATATGTATTGAAAATAAAATGGTATAAAAATTGTTTAAAATCATTTGAACATGTTTAAAAAAAGATTATAGATGGTGCTATTGATGATGAGGGTGAAACAAATTAAATAATATTAAGTCATGTGAAAAGATGTAAAAAAAAAAAAGGTAAAAGAAGACCAAATAAAACATTTGTAAACTTATTGAATGCGGCCTTTTTGTTAACATTATATCGAAGGATTTAGTATGCAGCCAATCTCATCTAATGAAAAAAAGTTGGTCGTTGTCGATGGGGTGTGTGTGAGCTCGAAAGAAGCTATGACGACTTGACGAGGGCCACGACGACAATAATAAAGAGACCCTTCCTCCAAGCATATAATAATCAAAGGTCGATAATTTATTATATTCTCATTAATACAAGTTCACACGTAGGGCAAACCTGTTGAGACTGAAGATGAGTCTCATTACATATATTTTATTGCTTTATTTGAAGGTATAGGAATATGAAAACATAATTATTAATTAAGGGCAAAAGACAACCCTATCGTTGGTTCCTCCTTGGCAACTACTCCCTTCGTTTCTATATGTAAGAAAAAAAAATTACATCACATTTTAAAAAATTAATTAACTATAATAATTATATTTAAAAATAAAAAAATTGAATTAAAATATTTTATATTATTCAACATAAGCATACATTAATTATTTTTTTATTAATATAAATTATAAAAGGTGATTTAAAAAATGTGTAATAAATGATATTTATTGAAATATATGATTTAATTTATATAAAAAATAAGTAAAAGATAATAGTTTCTCTCGTAAATAAAAAGAAAGTAATATAAGTTTTAGTATTGTCCTCAGGATAAAGGCAAGCATCAGGACACTTATCGAAATAACACCGGAGACCACGACAATTTGAGGTTGGATTGAACTCCATCGGAACATTAAAACCATCGATCACTGAGATATCATAGAAGTCCAAATTATTCCATGTGCTGAGAGAAAATTCTGCCAGAGTCGCCGGAGGTTGGCCGGAGACTTGGCAATAAAGCTGACCGCCACAATCACCAGTTTGGCAATGACCACGGCCCGACCCGTCGAAGTTGCAGTTGGTTCGACCCATAAGCGAGCACCTGTTTGTGACGTCAAACCATGCGGCCTGTGTGAAAATGACGATGTTGAGAGCTAAAAGGAAAGACAACACAAAGAGGCTTTTGATGATTGCCATTTTTTAAAAAATTTGAGCTAGCTAGGTTTTATGTTGATCGCTGCTCTGTGAAGAAAAGCGATATGGATGATGAGGTATATATGGGGTTTAGCAAGCAATGTTGTTCTTGAAAAATTTTGATGACGATGATGATGTCATCTAGTGATAAAACCAGCGTGACGCCATGAAAGTGGAGCTCGATCCATGTTGTGCTAATCTAGTTATAGGATATCGAGGATATAAAATATCTTAGTTTGGAAAAATGGTTCGCTTGTACCTAAAATATCTCCTCTATCGTAATATAAAACTAGAGATTCATCT